TAACAAGGAAACTTTTGGAGTTGAGAGATATGTATATTACCTTGATAGTGATGATAAATTCATGAATGAATGCTTAGATCCAAATTCATTAAAGTGTATACATTGAATAAGTGCAGTTTTTTGCACATCAGTTGTATCTCAATAAAGATGCTATGCGTGTACACACACACAGACACACACACCAGATACTGCTGCATTTCACATGTGTGGTTTCTTCAGGTTTTCAATTTATTTTACTCTATTAGGATAAAAAAGAAACTCCTGGGGATGGAACAAGATAGCAAAAAAAAAAAAATTTCCTAGGATGGAAGACACTCTGCTTTAAAAACACAAAAACAGAGATATGGAAGCTCTCAGTAAAGATGTGTGCCTTCATTCATCTCTCTCTGTCTTGGGACACTTTATTCCCCATCTATCTTCTGAGGTTACTTGATACATATTCACTGTGCAACAGAATGAGGCTTTCACAATGATATCACATGAAGAATAGACACAGGAAATAGGGGCGCTTAACCTGCCTGAGCCCTGGGGGCCATGGGGAGAGTAGACAGAGACACAAAGAACCCTGAGTCTCTGAAAGATTCTATTGCTGGGGGGTGGGGGGCCCGCAAGGCAGAAAATGTTGTGTGTGACTCCAGAAGCCTGATCTGATATCATTAAAAGGCACAGTAAAGGAAAAAACCGAAATGCCCAATAAAATTTCCTACAGATATGGTAGAATGGATAAACCTAGAGATGATGATGATTCTAGGCATCTCCTCCACAATTTAGTTGCTCAAATATCTCATTTGCTGCCCTCTATGCCAACACATGTATCCCACACATTTTCCATTGCCCAGGAAAAAGCAAGCACAGACTATCCTCTGTGGCTATGGCTTGGACATCCCTGGGGAATAGCAACTCACTAAGGCATCCAGCCAGTAGTATAAAGGTAGTATCTTAGTTGCATATTTTTCCTGGCTTCTTCAGGATGTGGAGAGGTAGAGAAGGCTGTGATAAGCAAAGTGAGTATCTTGGGGCCCAGACACAGTCTCTTCTACACTCTTTAGAAGGACCGAGGTCTGGTTACTGAGTCTGAGATCCCCTTTCTTCAGCTGCTGCCAAGAGGAAGAGCCAGTGGGATGGGGGTGAGCAGATGTTAGAGAAGCAAGAAGAAGAGTAAGGAGGCCTGGACTTCGAGAGACAGCAGGTCTATGCACCTAGATACGGCACAGGAAAGGAAGGCAGCTACTTTCCTAAAGCATAGAAAATGTCCTGATTCAGATAATTGTTCAGAAACCCAGACTCTGTGTCCAAGCAGATTAGTATTCTTTTGCTTCTCTAAGGAGAGCAACAGTGTAAGAGTATCTGAAAAATCCCATCCCAGCAAGCATCCTGCCAGTGATCTGAATGTTTGCTTGGTGTCTCAACTCTCATTATGAGATTGTCCTTCATAATCTTCTGAGTAAGAGCCTTTTAGAAAAGCACTTGGCATATACATTGCAAAATGATTACACCTTAGTGTTGGATCACATCTCCATCACATAATTATAATTTCCTTTTTTTGTGGGAAAAAAAGAATTAAAAAAAAAAAGAAATGCACTCGGCTTTGGGTTAAGAAAGCATGGTGGATTCAGCTCTTTGTTTCTAGGCAACTTAACTTTCCCTAGACACACCCAGTGACAAGTTCCCAGAATCCTAGACTGTTCAAACAGAAATTATTTAGTTCCTCAGAGGAGAGCTATAATTGGCAATATCTTTGATCCTTTAGTATCCTGGAAATAATAACAGAAAACCAAACCCAGTCTCACTTCCAGGCTTAAGCAACTTAATATAACACTTTTGGATTTCATGGGAACCAGGAAACTTATCAATCCAACTTGGCTACTAAAATGGGCAGAAAAAATAAAATCTGTCCTTTCACCACACAGAATCCCTTCCCAATGTCAGACTCTTCGTAAAACTATAATATTCACAAAATGTAATAAGTGATAGAAAAGCCATTATCTGGATATAAGGGAAAAATTGGCTTGACTGCATAAGAGCTGTCCCTAAATTTTAGCAACTTGTCTTAAATGGTATCATATAATCTTCCCTTGTGAGCTCCAGGCTTCTTGTAATATTCTATTTAATTTAGCATTTGGATACTTCACAACAATAAGAGCAATAGATCACACAAATCCCAGACTTGCATAGGAACTTCATATCAATGAGGGGACAAGGGCAATTTCTACAACAAATGGAGGATATGTCAATTATTCAGTATTAGATAAATCAGTGCAGGATGAAAGAGAGAGAATGGTGATATAAATCCCAGGTAAAATCAATCCTCAAATCAATCCTGCAAATCAAAGGAAACCACAGAATGCACCCTCTATTCTGATTTAAGCTGCCAATGACAAAGTATTTCCTGGTTTGATCTTAAAATAGTACGATAAAAGTAGATACTAACTGCATTAATCTAAAGGAACCATGAGTCTTTACTATATATACACTATACAGTATAAATTGTGAATATGTGCACCTAGGAGGTGCATAAGAAATGTGACTTAGATTAGTAAAAGGAAAAACAGGAATGAGATAATTAGCACAATAAAAGGCAAATGGCTTTATAAGAAGGACACAAAAGGTCACAATGAGCAACAAAGGGACAGTTTTGTGAGAAATAGGAAGGCGCTTTATTCACACAGCTTCAAATTATGTAACCATGGAACAACAGGAGATTACAAGCTCTTCCAGATAATCTGATCCAACTAGCCCCACACTTCACAAATCTCCAGCATGTAGGACAGCTCATGGCCAATACAGGCAATGTAAAACCACTGAATGTGTTTAAGTAAAATAGACCTGAATTTAGACTCATTTCCAGAATGGCCTATAGGAACTCACTAAGCATCTCCCCTCCCGTTTTACTATTTTTATATTACCATTTTTAATGTTTATTATATTATTTAAGGGGTGCCTGGGTGGCTCAGTGGGTTAAAGCCTCTGCCTTCAACTCAGGTCATGATCCCAGGGTCCTGGGATTGAACCCTACATCTGGCTCTCTGCTCCATGGGGAGCTTGCTTCCTTTCTCTCTATCTGCCTGTCTCTCTGCCTACTTATGATCTCTGTCTGTCAAATAAATAAATAAAATCTTTTTTAAAAATTAAGAAAAAATACACACAAATAACATACATGGTCTTTTTTTTTTCTTCAGGTTGTATTTATTTATTTGGGAGGGACAGAGAGCATGAGAGAGAGGGGCAGAGGGAGGATTACCTCAAGCAGATTAAGATTCTGACCCTGAGATCATGACCTGAGCCAAAACCAAGAGTCGAACACTCAACCAACTGTGCCACTGAGGGGCACCAAACTTTTATGATTATTTTTAAGACCAAGAGATATTATTTACAAACAAATAAGTGAGGGGTCTAATATCTGAAACATAAGAGATATTCAATAATTGATAAATTGGTAAATTTAGTTGCCCAGGATCAGATACTAAATTGGTGACATTAATAGGATGGATCCCACTAAATACTAAAGGAGACTAGACTAAAACATGATTCATGTTTTCAGTGTGTGGCTGTAGAAATTCAAACTCTTGGAAAAGCATCTCAGGGCCCATATTCTCTGTAATTATGGCCCACGCAGCTGGTCAGGTGTCTGTGCTGACTGATTCACAGGTAGGCATACTTACAAGAACAAATCAAGACCTCAAGCTGAGTGTGATGGGGGCTGACCAAAATGTTTGGCTGGATTTTTAAAGGTTTGGGGGAATGTTGAGTGAATGGAATGAGGGGATGATTCTTGAAAAGCAATGGGTAGCCTGGATTACAAGAACATCAATTTATCCAGGTTGATATGCTCTGGGCAAGGCATGGGTGAACCACAAATATTTAAGTGTTCTCAGTGACCTGGGGAGCATCAAATGTTTCTTCATTTACCAATCCTTTCCTAGTACTTATGTTCATTTTCAGTCTGGGACTTTATAATTACTGGGACATAATTAAAAGAGAAGGTCCTAGGATCTATATTCAAACCCTCCAAACACAAAAAGATCTTGATTTCTCATAGCTAACTCAGGGGTGCCTGCGTGGCTCAGTCGTTAAGCATCTGCCTTTGGCTCAGGGCATGATCCCCGGGTCCTGGGATGGAGCCCTGCATCAGGCTCCCAGCTCAGTGGGAAGCCTGCTTCTCCTTCCTCAACACCCACTGCTTGTGTTCTCTCTCCCTCTGTCAAATAAATAAATAGAATCTTTTAAAAATAATAACAATAATAACTGACTTGGAAGAATGCTGTAGTATTCTCTTCTTGAAATGGACTTCAGAATTTCTTTTCTTTCACTTTAACTAAAATATTTCCCTTCTCTGTCAGCAAGGTAATTATGACACAACAATGAAATAATTATGTGAAAGCATTTAGAATACAGCCAAATGCAGTATTAACAGGAAAAAATAAGGACCAAGACACAGATGACAATGACGACGATGATGATGATGATGATGAGCATTTAGAGAGGGCTTTACATATTAAAGAGCATTAACAAACATCCCTTCATAACAATGAATCATGGAACACTGAAAAAATAACATAAATTTTTTTTAAAGTGCTCTACAAAATAAAAGAAAGAAAGAAAAGAAATAACTAAATTCTAATTCTATTTCAATCATTTTTGTATGGTAATCATGAGGAAGTTAAACTATCCCCTACATTCTACATTGGTTTGAGGACATATTTGCTGATGTATGTATATTCTTGGAACACCAGCTGGTGGGTGTTAGAGAGGGCACGGACTGCATGGAGCACTGGGTGTGGTACAAAAACAATGAATACTGTTATGCTGAAAATAAATTTAAAAAAATGATAAAAATGATTAAAAAAATAATACAAAGAGCTGAGAAGATGGGAAATAATGAAATAACCTACATAGCATGACTAATTGTCTTCCTAATAACAAGTGTCTTGTCATTATCTTTCTTTCTGTGCAGATTAAAGAAGTCACATCTTTCCAGAAACCTCAACTGCTTTCCAAAGATGCTGCCTTCCCAGTCCTATGTCAATATCTCCTTCTTCCAGCCACATGCCTTCCTGATGATTGGCATCCCAGGGCTGGAGGCTATTCATGGATGGATCTCCATCCCCTTCTCCTCTATGTACACGGTGGCCCTCACTGGAAACTGCCTGATCCTCTTGGCTATAAGGAGAACTCCCAGCCTGCACCAGCCCATGTACTATTTTCTGTCCATGCTGGCCCTCACTGATGTGGGCCTCACTCTGTCCACACTGCCCACCACCCTGGCTGTGCTCTGGTTTGACCATCGGCTCATAGGTTTCAATGCCTGCCTGGTCCAGATGTTCTTCCTCCACTCTTTCTCTGTGGTGGAGTCGTCAGTGCTCCTGGCCATGTCATTTGACCGTTTTGTGGCCATCTCCAACCCTCTTCACTATGCAGCTGTCCTCACCGATAATGTCATCATTAGTATTGGGCTGGCCATTGTGGCCCGTGCTACCCTTTGTCTCTTCCCAGTGCCCTTCCTGCTCAAACGTCTGAACTTCTGCCCTAATAAGATCCTCTTGTCCCACTCATTCTGTTTCCATCCTGATGTGATGAGAAGAGCCTGTGCTGACATCACAATAAACATCCTCTATGGGCTTTGTATGGCACTGTCCACTGGAGGCATCGATTCTCTGCTCATCATTCTCTCCTACATTCTCCTCCTACACACAGTGCTAGGACTGGCATCTCCCAGGGAACGCATCCGAGCCTTCAACACGTGTGTCTCCCATATCCTGGCTGTTTTTGTCTTCTTCATCCCAGGCATTACCCTGTCCATGATACACCGTTTTGGGGGGCACCTACCTCCCATTGTACATGCCTTAGTTGCCTATACATACCTGGTGGTGCCCCCTGTGCTCAACCCCATCATCTACAGTGTGAAATCCAAGCCTATCAGGGAGGCCATGATTAGGATGCTAAAGAGGAAAGACCAAAGCTGATGAAACTATGAAATATAACAGGGTCTGGGTACCATAAAAGAGACTTCCTATTCCTTGCAGGAAACTGCTACCTTTAAAAAGCACTAAAAACTCCTGGCCAAGGCTAGTGGGAAGACCATCAAGATAATCCATGTTGCAAATTTACATTCACTGTTTACTTGGTACTGGAAACAGTGCTGGGGATTAAAGACTGAAAAATATATTAAACATGATCCTTTCTCTCCTGGTACAAACATAGTCTTATACCAGGACAAAGGCAGGTAAATACAGAACCAGAACACAAGTGCCATAATAAAGTTCTGTGCAAGAGATTACTAGAGGAACTGCAAATTAGTAGTTGCCAGAATTTGCCTGGGAAGATCAGACAAACCTCTACAAAGGAGAGACTGTTTTTTGTTTCATCTTGAAAAATGTATGGGGTCTTTCTAGGCAAAGTAAAAATTCAGTAAGAAAGATAAAAACCTAGGAAGAAAGAGCAACATTAAAAAAAAAGACTCCATATTTTCAAAGAAATAAATGTGTTTGTGGGAAGATAACCATTCCTGAACTTCTTTATGCCTTTACCACTTGTTATATTGATACAAGTGTGACTGTGGTATAGAGCTTAAAGAGGGAGTGGTACAGGATGAAGCCAGAAAGGTTGTACAAACTGTACAGAATTGTACAGAACTATGCATACTCTGCTGAGATTGGTTTGTCCAAAAACATATGAATCATTTATTAAATATTTTTTACTATAAAATAAGTTAGGAATATGAATTGCAGATTAGAAGTGTGTTGATATATAAGTGAGACTGGAGCCAAAGGCTATCAACTTTTAACCTCTTATCTGGTCTCAGGGTCTTCTCAGACATCACTTACTCTGCCTGTAATGTTCTCACATCCTCTTTCCCCCTTACCTATGTATCATTCCTAGCTTCATTTCTCATTAGTCAAGTAGAAGCTTAATTTCTCAGAAAAACCTGGCCAACTCTCTTTTTCACATTATTCACTGGACTGTGTTTGTGTCCTATGCAATATATGTACATATATAATAGTTTGTCACTTGACTAGACTGTAAACCCCAAGTAAGGGTGCCAAAATATACTCAGTTTATAGTGGTATCTGTGAAATAATAGCTGCTTAATAATTCCTTTGAATGTATACATGAATTTGAGTGCGAAAAAGGGCAACAGATTAATTAATTAAGAGATAACTTAGAAATGTTTACTCCTGGGAGCCTCTAGTCTTTCAGAGAAAAGAATACATATAAATAATTGCAAAGTTTGTGTAAAGGTTTCCAGTTGAGCTTGGTTAGCTGACCTGGAGATGTGAGAAGTGCAAACCAACTGACTGAACTAAAGTCCCTCACCTAAGTAAAGGTTTTCTACTTTTTCACCATACAGGATCTCCAAGGCCATTTTCCCGGAATTAATGTCCTTCATACCTGAGTTAAATACTCTGGTTCCATAAAGAGTTTTTGTAAGAAAGAAAATTGTGATACTAAGATTTGTTAATATATTTCTGCTTGAGTATACCTTCTATTTTTTCAAGATTTTTTATTTTAGAGAGAGAACGCATATGAGTAAGAGAGGGGCAGAGGGAGGAGAAGATGGAAAGAATGCCAAGAAGACTTCCACTGAGCATGAAGCCCAGTGAAGGGCTTGATCCCAGGACCTGGGATCATGATCTAAGCCAAAATCACAAGTCAGACACTAAACTGAGCCACTGTGGCACACCTCGAGTGTACCTTACAAAGTGATGCTGAAAGGGGATGTGTGTCTTTCTTATCTGGAAGCCCTGGAGAAGAATCTGTTTCCATATTCATTTGGCTGTTGGCAGAAGCCAGTCCCTTGAGATTATTCAATTGTTGTCTATTGGCCTTCCTCAGCTCCTTAAGGCTGCTCACATGACCTCTTTCATCACCAAACCAGCAACAATGCATCACATCCTTCTCGTATTTTGACTATCTCTAACTTTTTCTGTTACCAGCTAGTTGCAGGAATGTCTCTTCTTCTAAGGATTCATCTATCTTAAGGTCAGCTATGCCATATAATAACACAATACCAGAAGTGATATTTCACATATTCAAAGGTTTGGGGAATTAGAACAGGATGTTTTCATGGGGTGTTCAGAATTCTGCCTACCACATGACTGAATAAATGGATTAATTAATGGATGTTTCTATGAAAGTACACAATCAGGGTATCTCACCTGTTCAAAGGATTAGGAATTGCTTTTCTCAAAATATGATAATTATGAAGATGTCTAAATTTTGAAGAGAAATTAACTAGGAAAAAATAGAGTGTTTAGGGAAAGGTATATCAGGCAAAGAAAGCCTTGTCTCCAAAGAGCTTGTAGAAGGTAAAGCATGGTGCAGTAAAGGAATGAAATGAAAAGCGGTATGATTGAAGTCAAAGAGCAAAGAACCTATGGTTCAAGACAAGTATGAAAACATAAATGAGAAATATGGGAAATAATTAATGTGCTAATCATGGATGAGGGTAGTTTTGACACAATCGCATTTATTTTTAATACAGCATTTTATATTATGTTGTAGAGAACAGATTAAATTAAAGCTGTAAGGCATGCAAATTTATCAGAAGGCACTGAAATAGTTGAGATGAGATTTAGTGGAAATTTGGACTGGGTGTGTGGAAATAAAGAAAAAGAGACGGGTTCAAACTTATATGTTCAAACAATAGAAATTGTATAACTTGATTTTGGATCAAATATGAAGCTAAGAAAAGAAAAAGGAAAGGCCAAGGGTGACTGCTAGTTTGGGACACTTCAGGGTAAATGGTGGTATGATTAACTGGAACATGAAACATGAATAGAGAAACTTAGTTTGGTAAAGAATATCATGAGCTGGGTTATGGACACTCTGAGCATGAACTCCCCTGGAAGTATCCAAATGGCTAGACCACACAGGCCATTGGACTTGTAGCCTGGGAGCTCTAGATTAGCCAAATGGTCTAGTCTAGAGATAAAATTTAAGTCATGATATACAGATGACAATAAAAACCATCAACCCAAGTGTGACTATGTAACAACTAAAAGGCTGATTCCAGATGCTCTAATACCATGTTCTCTCATAAGGCAGAAAAAAAAAATATATGTGGCAAAGGAAACTGAGAGGTACTGAAAGAGATAAGAGGAAAACCATGAATGTGATGCCATGGAGGTCATAGGAAGAAAATATTTCAAGAAAGAGGGAGTGGTCAACTGTGTTGAATGTTGTTGAAAAGTCAAGGAAGATAAAGACTTAAAACCTCAAACGCACAGAGATCCTTAATGATGATAGTGAATGCTCTTTGGTAGTTTGACTGAGGCCAAAGTTATATCGGAGCAATGAAAGATGAAAGATGCATATTCGGAGATAAGTTATAGATAATTTTTCTAAGAGATTTGACTAAGAAAGGAAAGGGATAAAAGAGTAATATAAAATCTAGGCAGGTTTATACTTGTTTTGAATATGGAAGAGACTTGAACATAATGAATAATGAATGCTAGAAATGACTGAGATGGTAAATTTGAATAACCAAGAGGAAGCAGGAAAAATAATGTAAGTTTCCTTATATTAAATTCATAAATTCAGACCTCCAGTGTCTTCTCTGGCAGGATAGACAGCAGTCTGACCTAATCTAAACTGAGTCCCTCACTTTCCAGGTTTTATTTCTGTTACTTTCTTTTTATTCAACAACTATTTATTCAGTGTTGTATTTACAAGGCTAGACTACTTTAACAACAACAAAAATATGTTCAGACACTTAACACATTCAGTTTTCACCCCTTCACCTGGTGCAAATATGGGTTGGTGGGGAGTTGTAGGGAGAAGGGTGAGGCTCTAAATAACTTTTCAAGAACTCAGGCTGCTGGTGGTTTACCACATGCAACACACAGGTTCCTAAGTCACATGTGATGTCAACATAGAACACTGCACAAAGGAGGGTTTTCGAGCCAGTCCTAGACGTGGAAGAGGTCACTTCCACTCACACTGAAAGTGGTGGCTAGAATTTAATCATACACAACTCACAGGAAGCTAGGAAATGCCTCACTGTGTGTCCAGGATGGGAAGGAATTAGGTTTGGTGAACAATAGTCAATGTCTGCCATAAGTACATATTACACCCCAGGCACATTGCAGAATGCCAAGGGTGCAAAGACGAAGAGATTCAATGAAACAGTGCCCTCAGACACTCACATACAACTCAGCAGTAAACACAAGTATTAAATAAGCATTTCCCAAATATATGAGTATTATAAGAAAAGAAAAAAGTGTGTTGTGGGAATACCTATCAGAGAAACTGAGGACTGAAAACAGAAATGAATCTCAATCACATATAAAATCACATGTTTCAGAGGTTGTTATTTGAATTTCTTTTTTATTATTATTATTATTTTTTTAATCTTTTTTTTATTTATTTTCAGCATAACAGTATCCATTGTTTTTGTACCACACCCAGTGCTCCATGCAATCCGTGCCCTAATACCTACCACCTGGTTCCCCCAACCTCTCACCCCCCCACCTCTTCAAACCCTTCAGATTGTTTTTCAGAGTCCATAGTCTCTCATTTTTCACCTCCCCTTCCAATTTCTCCCAACTGCCTTCTCCTAACTCCCCATGTCCTCCATGCTATTTGTTATGCTCCACAAATAAGTGAAACCATATGATAATTGACTCTCTCTGTTTGACTTATTTCACTCAGCATAATCTCTTCCAGTCCCATCCATGTTTCTTCAAAAGTTGGGTATTCATCCTTTCTGATGGAGGCATAATACTCCATAGTGTATATGGACCACATCTTCCTTATCCATTCATCCGTTGAAGGGCATCTTGGTTCTTTCCACAGTTTGGTGACCGTGGCCATTGCTGCTATAAACGTTGGGGTACAGATGGCCCTTCTTTTCACTACATCTGTATCTTTGGGGTAAATACCCAGTAGTGCAATTGCAGGGTCATAGGGAAGCTCTATTTTTAATTTCTTGAGGAATCTCCACACTGTTCTCCAAAGTGGCTGT